ATGGGCAACCTACTTGCACGCCTCGTAGGCAGACCAGCAAATGGCCGTGCTGGGCATGGTGGTAACCACGCGGGGGCGCACACCCTTGAAGAAACCGCGGAAGCCCTCACGCTCGTACAGTAACCGGCATCCAGCCATGAATCCGTTAACATTTCTCAATGCCGGATCGGTGGCAGTTCCTCGGGTCTGAAGCATGGTCTTGATAACATCCATGGGCGTAGTCAAAGCGGCAGCGAAACCACCGGCGACACCACCAGCCAAGCAATGTGTTGTGGGATCGTATCCCTTGTCAGGGTTCATGGCCGTCGATATGGATTCGTACGCCAAGAATTGGAGGGCAGTGAAGGGCACCGTCATGGACAGCGTAGTTGGGTAAGAAACGTAGAAAGCCGCCAGTCCCTCGGTCTTGTAGACATACTTGGCGCAATCGGTCATGGAACGGTACATCTTGGCCGACCCCTGGATCTGCATGCGCTGCTTAATGACTAGAATTGACTCGATGTTAGCTACTGGGGATACCGAGTGGGCGGACGAGGCGATGTTGCGACCACGTACCATCGAAAGGGTTCATCAGCGCATCGCTGGCAATCGTAGCGCAAGCACCACTGGTCGCAGCAGCCAGAGGATGGTGAACACCGGCTTGGTTGCCACCCATGACATGCTTGACAGCCTCGTATGTGGCGAAATAAACAGCATGAGCAGGACCTAATATTGTGAGCAAAGGGAAGGCCTTCGTCGAGAGGACAGCAATAATGCTGGGGGGATATCACTCACCGGCACCGGCAACGACACTGGACATGCCTCTCCACAAGCTGAGGACGCCTTCGCGACTAGCTATGCGGTATGTACCTTGAATCACACCATTGTAGACGGCCGAGGGATTGGGGTTCAGGACCTGCATGCGGGTCTGCAAAGCTCGGGGTTAGCGGATGATGGTTTGCGATACCTGTGTCTATGGAAGGGAGCGGCATCATACCTTGATAGCGTCAATCGGATACATGACAGTATGCTCCTGCACGTGGGATCATCAGCTTTCGGAACCTTGTGGATATCAAACGTGAAAGCGGGCAGCTCGTTCGGGGCCGAGACCGCAAGTAAAGAATATATCGTACCGCTATGCCCGCAAACGCCCCGGCAGCCATGTTCTGCACGAGGGAAAAGTTGGGCGGTAGAGATTCATAGCTAGTAGAGCAAAGAGTCAGCAGGAGGATACGATATGGTGTGCGTCATCATCAAGAGGAGTCGGATGCGAAGGGTGGCGGCGGAAGATGTGGACGTGATGAATGTGTAGATGGGGGCATTGCGCACTCGTATTCCTCGGCGGGCTCTGCATTGGGCTGGGCCATTGCGGCCACAGCAGATGCTTCGCCGTAGGGCTTGGGCTGAAGAGCCGCCAGATTGACAGCTGGAGGGGGATCGAGGGGGTCGGCGATGGCGACCACGAATGTGGCGGGAGGAGCTCTCGTTGAGGGAGAGGCGGAAATGATCGCGTTGGCTGTCGGTATCGATGGCTTCTCTGTTTTTTTCTTCTTTCCTCTCTACTCGCGATTCTCTCTCGTAGGCCTAGGGAAACCTATGGCTCTGGACGTAGATTCGGAAAGAGGCCGCGGAGGATCGGTTCGGCCGGAAATGTCGACGATATTCGGGCAACGGCGTGCAATGACAAGTGCAAGTGCAATGGGAGCTATCTAGAAGAAGCGACCTTGAGCTCACGACGCCGTGCGTTGAGAGTTGCGATGCACGGTTGATATGCAGGTGGGTGGCAGTTGCGAGAGTTGAGGTTGAAGGAACGGCGGAGGTAAGGAAGACCAAACCAAGTCGTAACTAGCGGGAAAGGAAGAAAAAAAAAAAGGCCAATTGGAGCTAGCAGAGTCAGGTAAAGCACAGGCAGTGGAGGCCGGGGCTAAGAGTGAAGGTCCAGTGAAGGTACATTTACTGTGGATGAAGTCGGGGCCGAGAGAGGGGACGAGGCAGCTACCTATCCGTAGGTTCCTAGGTAATACGTCGAGAATGGAAAGAAATCACATCTATGGATGGCCCTAAACTGAGGTAGACACGTAATTTGTAAAGAAGGCACTTGCTTGATAAGACATGCTCTCTCTACCTTCCAATATTCGTACTTTAACTACCTGACCTTACCTACCTAGTAGATGGTGGTAGAGGTACCAAAGGTAGTCGCAGTTTTCCAGAGCTGCCCGGGGAAGGTACTTTGGTCATTGAAGTCTCTCCTTCCAGCGGGTTTAATGCGAGCTGAGCTGGTTTTCAGGGGTTCCCAGGCGAGCTACCTAACGGCCCGGTCTACCTTAGGTATCCTCCTACGCCAACGGACTTTAACATATGGTCTCAATATCTTGGTCACTTTTGCCCTTTGCCCTTGGCACATTGAATATCTGCCTCTAGAGACGGGTATGTCTTGGCATGTTCACGTCGCTAAGATGCAAATAGGAATGTCACCCTTCAAGTTGCTCGTAATGCAAGCTGAGTGTTTATCTAATCTTGAAATGGCAGAGCATGACAAGACAGGAAGCCAACACGTTCCTCAAGATAGAGAAGAGACCGTATTAATGTCCAAACGTGCTCGTATACATCAGCAGCATGACCGGGCAGAAATAGATCGGAGGGGAAAAGGGAGTGCAAGAAAAAGCTTCTGACCGAAAACTTTTTTTGTCCGTGTTCCATTCTGTCAACGTGTCCCAGTTCAACAGTCAACTGGACAGTCCAGATTCCAGAGTCCAACCTCGGGTCTCGTCTTGTGCGGCCTCGGAGATCAGCAGCCCGCTTTTCCCCCAAGACCCAGCTTCGGCTTGCCAGCAGCCAGTAGGCAGTTGATGTGATTTTTTTCCCAGCTTTTTTTCTATCCCGTTTTGTCCAATGTCAAGACCTCTCCCGCGTTCCCAGTCTGCCTATCGAGGCTATCATTGCATCTGGTATTCTGGTAAATCTGGTCAATGGCGGAGTGGGTCATCCCAGCAAGATCTGTGTGGATTTCTTCCCCTGACTTTTGTTATCAATCTCATCTCTGTCTGCTGACCCCTTCGCCACAGCATTTCCGTACACCGCACCAAATGTCGCCGCCGCAGTGCACTGTAAGCCGCAGTGTGGCCAGTGTTTTGTATCGTTTGGTTGTAAGCAGTGTCGTTTCTAACCTTTCCCTGACCGTGCAGATGCCAGAAACACAGTTCATGACGCTGACTCTACATCCGATGTGACCACATCCACCCTAAAAGTCCCATTCGACACCTCAGACTTTGTGTCGGCGCATCATCCAACCCTTTTGTGCATCTCAGATCTCAGGACGCCTAGATTTAGCCTGAGATGATAGACAGCCCAACTGCGGTGAGGACAAGGCCAGCAACATGAGAATTGGATTATCGTGTTCCTTTTTTTTTCGGTTTATCCGCACCTTAACACGCTTAGCTAAGTCCGCCAAGGGTTCGGCCGAAACCCCCGGATTCAACCCGTGCTTTCAATGGGCCCGCGTGGCCGTTGTCTCCAGTGTTCCGACCCTCCCTATAAGCGCTCTCCGGCTAGTGGCTAGAAAAACAGTGACCTCAAAACGAGACCTCGAAGCTACCTGAGAGACAGGTGGCAGATGGCAGGGTCCCTAAGCAGGGTCTCAAAAGACTTGAGCACCTCCACTGCAAAAGAGATCAAATCCAGTCGAACGGTAATACCCTCACAGTCTCACAAGCACGCCCCCGCCGGCACTCACTCTCTCATCGTCTTTCTAGAAGGACAGAAAGAAGCCTCTGACCCTTGGGGGAGGCTGGGTTTACTTCCAGGGGCAATGGCCCATCAATGTGCGTCCTCGCTTCGACGACGCTTCCTCAAGCCTCATGGAACCTCCGGCCTCGGTTCTGGAATAATATCGCACCCCCTTTGGCGGGTCGCATCTTCTACCCCTGCCAATGAATTGGGTAATATGGTGGACGTACGGATACGAGTACAGACAGAGAGGACGGGACACTCCCCCTCTCTTTCTGTCTATCCTTTCCCCAAGCATGGCATATGGTTTACATTATCGTCAGGTATGAGACTCAACATGTCGGGCACGCGGGGGTTTGGTATTTGCAAAGGCTGCAGTTGGTAAGGCAAAGGGAACAATGCGGAAGAGAGCGCCACAAACAACCAAAAGTCGTCTCGTCTCCCTGCAATCGCAATAGCATAATACCACCACACCAACATGGGGGACGATCAAGGCTCTCAGATTCGTTAATCTCGGTTGCCAGCATCCTTTCTCGACACGGCACTCGGGTCTCCATTGCTTGCATCTAATCTCATCTTATCAATCTCTAGCCCTAGAACGCATTGGCATCCGCCACTGAGCGGACTTCACCATCTCCGGCCACATCCACCTTGTCATGCGCCGGACAAAAAACTCTTCTCTTTTCTCCCTGTCACTTTACTCCGTATTGCCTTGTCAGTGTCACTGTCTGAGCTGCTAGCCTGCTACTCGGCGAGTACTTGCACAGCCACTCGGGTGCTCGAATCAACTCGCATTGACTTGGCTTGACTCTCTTGCAAGCCCCTTATAGTTATGGCGAAAGTTTGCTTGCGTGGCACGCCCATACTTGCGTACTTATTCTCGTCCGCGGATCGCTTCGCCCAAAGGCGCTCATACGGTGCTATGGAACCCCGGGTGCGGGCTGCTCGGAGATACGATATCTCCCTTCCCCGGTCCGGTCCGGCGTACGCCCCGTCGGCTGGACCATGAGAGTGACAGCTCTCAAGTTTCGCGCTGGTGATTCAAATCTTCAAATGGCTATTGCTGTCTATTCCAATTCTATGATGATAGTTCGTGTGTATACTACTGGGCTTCTTGAGCCGGGTATCCTCCTTCGCATTCCTTGCCAGCTATGGCGGACCTACGTCGAGGACTGAAAATGTTCAAAGCCATAAAATTCATGTTCCCATGACCCGTTTACCCAGCTTCACTCTCCGGATTCAACTTTACTGGTCCAAAAACCCATAATATTGTCTACGGATATGGGGTTACAGCATTAGAGCCGTCCTCCGCCTTGGGGGTTGCTGCGGTGGGCCTGCTGGAATTGGTAAATCAGCCCCAATACACCGGCGTCTTGCTCGCCTGTATCAGCCATGCTATTTTCTCGACTCAACCCTTTGGGCGGCGACGTCTCCCATACAGACTCGCCTAAAGGCCCCGAGCCCCCATAGACCTCGTCTTCGAATGGTCCTTGAGAATGTAGGCGGCCGTCTATACCCAGGCCATCCTCAGACTCTTCAATGATACCTTCACCTTGGTATCCCCCACGGCCCGCTCGGCTCCGATGCGTACTTCGGACGCCGAACCCTGTCGCGGCCGGCTGGTGGTGTGGGTCGAGGAGCATCGATGCCATCGGCGACGGAGCCGTCATCGAGGGCCCAAACCTCGGCGTTCGGGTTTGTTGTCCAACTCCACCACCAGGAGGAGCACGACTCCGTGATAGGTCATGCCGACCCATTCTGGAGTTTTGCATATCGGCCGCCAGTGTTGGCGAGTTCAGCCCGGGGAACGCTGGTGGAGGATGGAAAGGATGGCGACTTCCCGGCGGTAAATGGCCCGGGATGCCCGTTTTCGGGTTAATCACATAGTTGTCTAAGAAGCCGTAGTAAGATGCCGCCATCTTGTTATGCTTCGTGGAATAGTAGTCTTCTCGAACATCGCCAGGGCCGGATGGTTGCTTAGCCTTGCCCACGCCCTTCTTGAAGTCGAACTCAGCAAACGAGCAAATGTAGCCAACTCCATCCACGTGGATTGTGAATTCCCGGAAGAAGTCGATTATCTGATCGCTGCATTTCGGTGCCGAGAAGATGAGCACCAGCGAGGCTGTAAGTATACCAATGATCTCCTCGATCAGAATCACCAGCTTGAGCTTGTACAGCTCCGAGAACTCACGCTTCACATCGGCTGTATGAAGACGGTCTTTCCAGTGGTCTGGCATGTAGCGCGTGTACTCAATGACATATAGCAGGGCGTGTTCTGGATTGAACACGGTTGTCTCTTCAGATATCATGCCCCTGGCACCTGCCCATATGGCGGCAAACAAGCCAATATAGAACAGTGCTGAACGCTCGGATGTGATCTCGAACCCAAGGAAGAGCTGTGGATCGAGGAATGAGGCGACAGCAAGAACCGAAGTAAGAGCTCCTGCGACGAAGGTTACCGTTCTAGCAAATTGTTCCGTCATTTTTTTCGGGAACTGGTCAATGTATCGACTCGCAAACGGATAAGACATGTTGATACGCTCCTGGAAGAGATGCGGGACCTCGTTGAACTCGCGAAACTTCCACTCAGCAAGAGGCGTGTACCTTCTGTGGCTGAACGTTGAAGGGTCTTTCTGGTATTCCTGATGCCCAATATATTAGCTTCTCTGATGTGATCTCCGTGACATCACAATAACAAGATACTTACATTGTAGTACGTGAATGCATGCACCACAATGAGATAAGCGACCACAAAAGGCCCTATCAACAAGTTGACGACCCCGGCGAAGACAAGCCTCGACTTCAACTTGAGACTCAACAGACCTCGGCGATCGGCTTTGAGGAACTCTTGATGAACCTGATTGTTGGAGTCGAAGACATAAGTCAAGATTGCGAAATGCAAGTTCCATTCCAGACTTCGGGAAAAGAACTGGTGTTGTCGCAAGAAGGGTATCGGGAGCGTAAGGTCGAGAATGTCCTTATTCATCATGGCTATCAAGTAGTTCTCTCTCCGCATGAGACGGTTGGCAATGTCTGCAGCATCCAGCCTCTCCTTGGACTGATTGCGCATCCACTCTCGCGCAGATGGGCGTACGTTGATGGCTGTTTTGGGGTTCGCGTCCCGCAAGGCCATGACGCGGGCAACGATGTCTTGCCAGGATACAGTCTGCATATCCTCCTCCGGTATCTCTAGTAGATATATATAGAAGTTGCGCATGTGGTTCAAACGTCGAAGATCCATGGTGAACTGTACTGTCTTCCATATAAAGTAGAAGACGTACAGCCACAATCCTGTATTCCACATGAACGACATCTTTCTGGTGCACTGAGGAATGGTAACTTCTTTCAATGAGTTGCTGTTGGGGATTTTCGTGTACTCAACACATTGAGTGAGGAAGGTCAGAAATACGGCGAAGAAGGCGGACTCTCTAGAAGTATTTGGTCAGCAACTTTCACGTGTACTGTCAACATCCAGCAGACCAAAGGTCTCGACTTACACCAGGTGTAACGCCCGCGCGCACACGATACACCAGAAACCGCTCCCTCGGTAGTAGTAGTAGACATCCTGAACGAAGAAGTCGAGGTTCGAGACATTAACCCACCTCCAAAGAGCCTTTTCTTTTTCGTTGTTAGATGCAAGGCCTCTGGAATATCGCTTCGCGTGAGGCCTGCTTGGCTTGACGGGGTCTGCTGGATGAAGCCTTTGCTGAGCTTGTGTTGCCTCCCATTGGGCATGTGTTCGTCGGCTAGAAGGACCGGGTATTGCGTTTTGCCTTGACGGAGTAGCTGGCTTCCTCCGCCCAGATCCTTTAGACTGCGCTACCGCTTCGTGTGGTTCAACCAGCAGAGAAGCCGGAACGTCATTATCTCCGTCGTCATCCTGTCCCAGCCATCGTGGACTCGGCTCTTGTCGGATTCCGCCACGGTGATTTCCGCGACCGGTCTGCCCCGCTGTGGCTCCTGCAGGTGTTTTGAGCAGGTTGGCATTGCTGTCGAGAGTCGCTTGGCTGTCTTCTACGGTGAGGCCTGGCATGTGGTCCAGGTCGTAGTCTTGGAACTGCTCTTGCAGATTCTCCTCGTCCACATCCAGACCTGCGTGTTCTTCGATATCCAGGTCGCCGTCAGGATCTCCTCTGAGTTCTTTGTAAAAAGACCTTGACCCTCGAGACAGCGGGCCGAGTTGAGGGAAGATGTTGGAAGCCATGTTGAGGAAAAGGCAATCGGAATTCGGGGAAGGCTGATCGGTCGTCAAGGCCTATGATCGTCGCTCATGGCGACGCGTAGGGGCCTTGTTTGGATAAGGAAGGAACGAATGCAGCTTGCGCGACAAGAAGCAGTCGGATTTGGAGGTAAGAGTCGGTTGGGTATCGCGTTCCTAGAGTGCTAGGTCAGCTCGGGAGAACGACGAGGTTTAAACGGCAAGGCGGTTTGAAAGGTGGCTCTATGGTCGTCACTTGATATGAGGTTTGGCGGTCATGTGGCCATCTCGGGTGGTTGCAGGTGACAGAGGCTCCGGAAAGTGTTGGGGGTGGAAGACTTCAGACTCACAAGCCCATGCGGAGTGACTCTTGGTCAGCGCAGGTAGGTAAGTTGACACGGTGGGAAAAGGAAACTAGCTACTGCATAAGGAAGCTTTCAGTCTGATGTTGAAACAGTAAAAGGCGATCACAGTCACAAAGTCTGCGTACTGGTTGAGGAAGGTAAGGTAGGAAGGAGGATAAGAAGACAGCACGTTGTTTAGAGATAGATGCCTTGCACGCATACTCCGTAGGTATATCCGTTGTTGTATCGGACACTCGCACCACGCTAAGATACCTCAAGAACGGACGATTTGACCTGAGCGGCACAAGTAGCAGAAATACTCAAAAGAAACCAAAGCTGTAAGATAATGTCTAGCAAAGGTCTGGACAGGTCATGGAGGGGTCAGTAAGGTAGGTACCTTATGCTTTGGCTTCCCATTTGCGACTATCAGTCTCCCTCCAGCAGATAGGCAGCTAGCTAGCTGTATGTGGTGCGCATACAGAGCACATCCAGGTGACGGCATGGCTCAGACGACGTGATGAGTGGGGGCGGTAGACACAGGCAGCAGGCGGTCAATGTCATTTTTGCCGTTCTTATTCCCGACCGCCTTCTCTGGGGGTTGGACGTCATAAGGTGCCTTATCAACGCCCTTATCTCAAGGTAAGGTACCTACCTACCTTACCCGAAGGCCTGTGAGTGTTTTAGGTACCTTTCCGTACGGAGTAGGTAGGTATCCGTACCATCCAGAGCGTTGCATCAGGCCTCACCTTCCAGACGACCCTTGCTTACGTACTTCAGCGATATTCCGCTTCGCACCAGCCATGTGTACTGGAAGTACAGAGTATCTTACGTAACTCAAGGTAGGGATAGCTCGTAGTCCTCTATCCTCACGTCTAAGTCCATACTCACAAGTGCCAGTCAAACCCAGGAGGGCAGGTCAACTCCTTCATAGGTACCTAGCCAGTAGCTGCATCCTAAGTGTCCATCCGATTTCAATCATCACCTACTCTTTCGAACGCCTTGATGATCTCGGTTGACTCACCTATTGTTGCTCATCATGGTCTCTGCTCCGCCGCCATCCCTGAGACCACTGCCCAGCAGAGATGTGTCCAGTTCTAGTATCGGCAGCATGCCTCAGTCACCCTCAACGACTTCATCGGCAAGGGCACTGAACCCTCTTTCATCCAAGGTGACTACTGTTCTTTCAACATCATACGCCGACTCCGAATTTCGGGATGCCTTGCAATTGCTCGACAGCCGCAACCTCAAGAACACATCCGAGACACGCCGTCAACTACGGTTGGGCCTGCAGAAGGAGGTAATTGACAGCAACGGGGAGATTGTTTCCCAATTTGGCAGAGTCGCCGACGTGAGTTCTTTCGTCCAATATGCACAATCTATTTACTTACATCCCGTTTAGCAATTGCGTCGCATAGGGGCTACCCTGGACAAGTTGAATCACAACTATCAAGATGTGAGGAGCCGGATTACTGCAGCTCAACAAGAGACGGGACCTATCCTGGAAGAGGCTTCATCCTTGATGAAGCAGAGGGCAGACGTGGAATCTAAACAGCAACTCCTCAAGACCTTACGCAGTCACTTTATCCTTTCTGACGATGAAGTCGCCTCTCTGACATCAACCGCCGAGCCTGTTGACGACAAATTCTTCGCTGCGCTTTACAAGGCAAAACGAGTCAGTCAGGACTGTGAGATTCTACTCGGGTTCGAGAAGCAGACGCTGGGTCTGCAACTAATGGAGCAGACGTCCAAGAATCTCGGTCTTGCCTTCCAAAAGTTGTACAAATGGGTCCAGCGCGAATTCAGAACACTGAACCTTGAGAACCCCCAGATGAACTCATCAATCCGCCGCGCCATTAGAGTCCTTGCAGAGCGACCATCGCTCTTCCAAAATTGCCTAGATTTCTTTGCGGAAGCTAGAGAACGCATCCTGTCCGACTCTTTTCACGTTGCCTTAACAGGCACGACGACAGCAGGCCTCGAAGATCACTCGGTCAAGCCCATTGAGATGGCTGCCCACGATCCGCTCCGTTATGTGGGCGACATGCTCGCCTGGATACACTCGGCCACTGTTAGTGAAAGAGAGGCTCTGGAAATACTCTTTGTGTCCGAAGGCGACGAAATTGCCAAGGGACTCCAGACTGGCCGAGCTAATGAGCTCTGGCAGCTTCTAGGCGAAGGTGACGCTGACACAGCACCTGACTTTGATGCTCTCAAGGCGTTAAACGACCTGGTGGACCGAGATGTCTCAGGGGCAACGAGAATGCTGCGGCAAAGGGTCGAGCAGGTCATTCAGTCCAACGAAGAGACTATTCTCGCCTACAAGTTAGCGAACATTCTTGGCTTCTATCGATACACGTTTGCCAAACTTCTGGGCAGCGAGTGTGCTCTTTTGGAACTCATGACGGGACTCGAATCAGGTGCCTTGAGGCAGTTCCGATCGCTCATGAGGGATCACATCGCAACCCTACAAGGCGATTTCCAGCAGACGCCTTCGGATCTTGTCCCTCCAGACTTTTTGCTTGAAGCGCTGAAGCAGCTTACTGCGGTCATGAAAACGTACGAGATATCAATGGCATCGTCATCGGACCGCGAAGCCGACTTCCAACCAATTCTTGCAGAGGCCTTTGAGCCCTTCTTGGCAGGTTGTGAAAATATGGCGAAAGGTGTGAGACAACCGGCTGGTGCCATCTTCATAACCAACTGCTTGCTTGCGTCAAAGCATGCTCTCGAACCTTTCGACTTCACTCAGAGAAGAACACAGCGGCTGCAAGAGAGGATTATGGAGGAGAGCAAGAAGCTCACGGAAGAGCAATACCAATTCTTCCGTCGTGGTTCTGGTCTGGAGCAGATTCTCGAATCTTTGGGCAATCTTACAACAGAAGCCAGCGATGTGAAGAAGGTAGCGTCGCTTGAGGAGGTACAGCCGCCAGCTTTGAGCCGAGCCAGCCAGGCTCTCGACGACTTCTTACCATCGGCGCTGATGGACGCCATGGAGAATGTGAAGCGTCTGCAAGATTCAAGTCTAGCGAGAGAGCTCACGGAGAAGGCTGCGGAGAGATTCTGTGACGAGTTTGAGCATGTCGAACAGATGTTGCTCTTGGCAGACGAGCTGTCGGCCGGTGACAATACGTCGGCCGACGAGGGTGACGAGTCTCAGTTGCTGCGAGACTTATTTCCAAGAACAACGGGGGAGATCAGGGTCCTCTTGTCTTGAAGGGAACGCAATGGGGCAGCCGAAAGTGTCTGGCGAAGGATACGTTACTTACAAGGCCCGCACCGAGGCGATATTAATGATGCCGCAGTAATGCCAGACCATCTTTAACTTAACTTGTATTGCGTTGGACGGGCAGATGAACTCGACCAATTCCCACATTTCTTCATAGGAAGATATCTTGCCTGACCAGATCTGTCCCAAGATCAAGTTGAGACTTTGGCTGAGACTATGTGGCAGGTAGACTAATGACAAGAGATGAAGCCATAAGACCTTCTCCACCTTCGATGACCAGTTGTCCCAGAATGTTGCTGTCTCCTAATATGGTGTACGGACTACGTAAGATTTGTTCTTCGCAAGTATGCTTTGTGACTTACAGCTAGGTACCTGAGGTGTCATAGTGTCGTCAGGTGCTTGGCTGGTCTCGGTGTTGACCTACCCAGGGGTGCAACTGACATTATGCGAACATTTTCAAATAACACAACTTAAGGGAAAGTCACACGTTGGTAGAGCAGGCACCTGATAGACCTCACGTTCATTACTTCCACTGCACCTTACCTCCTGTTGGCAAGGCACGTAGGAGCCCGGGTAGTGGTGTGCCCCTGGCTGGTAACTTGGGTAACTTCCAGTACCTTACCTAAGTCAGTTCAGGTACCTAGGTAGGAGTGGTAGGGAGCTAGCTACCGACGCGTGCCACGCTACAGATGACCTCCGCTGGAAGTTGCCGCCCGTCCTTCCACTACCTACCTACCTTACCCCCACTCAGCCACCAAGAGCGACGTCACTGCGGCCCGCTAGCCTTCAATTGTCCCCCCGCCATCATTCGCCGGCAATCCCACTGCGAGAGAAACAAAGGCATCCTGGCCCTGAACTTTGCCTGACCTGAACCTCAGCTCCAGTTTGCCCAACTCCATTCCCCGTGGTGAAAACCTCCCTTCGACTGCCCCGACGCTCCGGATCGTAACAAATTGCCCGTCTCAACGTCAGAGCAATAACGCGTCTCCACTCAGACTTGAATGTACTATGGTCTGGCTTCCAGTACCATGTCACGCTCCCGGGGCCTTGCCATCCTCCAGAAGACATACGACGACAGCTACTTGAAATGCTCCACTGCTGTTTACTATGAAAGCCAGGTATTTCCCCCTTGATCCGGACTTCAATGGCGTGGCACACCAACGGATGATTTGTTTGTGCTGATTCAAGTTTTCCCGTGTCCTAGGGTGACGAGACCGAGGCGATGCGATGCTGGAGGAATGCCCTAGATCAGCTCAACGACCAACGCATCACCAAGCTGCTACCCAATTACGTTGCTGGAACCGAAACAGAAGACGCCTTGATAGATTCTCTGCGCAAACTCGAACTGCAGTGCAAGGAGCGCATTGACCTGCTCGAAGCGTTACGAATATCCCGACAAGACGCCTTGACTCCTCAACCCACCAACTCACCCGCCCCGAACCGCTCCATCTCCCCCGACCCATACACCATGTCCACTCCAGAAAGAGGCTACATTGGCCAAGGGACAATTCCAGCGATAAGATACCCCGATCTCTCACGGCCCGCCTTGCCAAAAAGACCTTCGTTGCCCTACAGAACATCATCTGAGCAGGCTGTAGTCGGTCGCGACCAAAGCCCCGTAGCTTCTCCCTTTGCCGGCCCATCGAACTCACCCCGAGTAACGCCTAGGAAAGAACCGACCATGAGGTCTCCAAGTCCTGAGAAATACACAATGCGGACGACGTTGCGAACCGGAAAGCCAGGCGATAAGTCTGCAAAGTCAAGTCGCAAATTGTCCAAGACCGAAGGACCTGGTGCCAGCAAGGCTGCAACTCTTGCATGGACTGCTCTGGGTTCTAGAGAAAGACTAGCCAGAGCGTCTCCGGCGGTACCTGAAGTCTCATCATCTGCGCCTGCAACACCTGCCGAGCAGTCCCGCAAACCGCCGTCCTCATCTGGCATGCAATGGGACGTACATACCCGACGGCTCGTGACGCCTAGAGAAGCCCATACGCCTCTCTCAGATGCGGTTGGTAGCGCAAGAACCTCTGAGGACTCATCGCAAGTGCGGCCTTCAGCCTTGTCCGTAAGTGCGGCATCTAGTGCTCTGAATGCCATGTCGTACCAAGATGCTCCAACGGCCGAATACAGCACCCCAAGACAAGAACGGACCCCGCGTTCGAGAGACCAAACGTCCTCAATTTCGCGATCCAAAGTATCGCCTCACGAACGGCCGCCATCCTCTGACGCTGACGAGTCAGAGTTACGACGCAAGACTACGCCAGACGTGGCCAGAATCCGGAGGAAGCCAGTCGGAGACGTACCTACTCGACCCAATAATAATCTTACGAGCGGATCAGAACAAGACAAAGCCGAACAAACTCGTCGCAACGCGCAACCGTCACGGGGCCGTTCGTCTTCCAGTTGCTCGGACAGCATAAAGAATACCAAGGTACCGGACAAGAAGAGAAAGGGAAAGAGGAAAGAAAACGCAATCGCAGCTGATGCTGAAGCGCCTTCCTCCGAAGCATCTGCCAACGATGAAAATGGGGACTCTTCGCTCAAAACGGCTTGGAAGGCAACAAAGAAGAAGATTATGAAAAACTTGCCAACCGGCGTAGACGAGGCAGCCGCAAAGCAGATTCTCAACGAAATTATTGTTCAGGGCGATGAGGTCCGATGGAGCGATGTTGCCGGCCTGGAAGTAGCCAAGAACGCACTCAGGGAGAACGTGGTTTACCCATTCTTACGACCGGACCTATTCATGGGACTTCGGGAGCCTGCAAGAGGAATGCTACTTTTTGGTCCGCCAGGCACGGGCAAGACCATGCTGGCGCGTGCTGTGGCAACAGAGTCGCGATCAACGTTCTTCTCAATATCAGCAAGCAGCTTGACGAGTAAATACTTGGGCGAATCAGAGAAGCTCGTCCGAGCATTGTTCTCTCTGGCAAAAACTCTGGCGCCGAGCATCATCTTTGTCGACGAAATTGACTCCTTACTTTCTCAGAGATCTGGGTCGGGAGAGCACGAGGCGACAAGGAGGATCAAGACCGAGTTTCTAATACAATGGAGCGATTTACAGCGAGCTGCGGCGGGTCGAGCCGTCGACGAAAAGGACAAGAGCAGAGGAGATGCGAACAGAGTGCTCGTTTTGGCAGCAACCAATCTGCCTTGGGCCATTGATGAAGCCGCACGCCGCAGGTTTGTGAGGCGGCAATACATTCCGCTGCCCGAGTCCGAGACTCGCTCTACCCAGTTCCGAACACTCCTGGGGCAGCAGAAGCATGTCCTGTCTGATACGGACATTGAGAAACTCGTTTTCCTTACAGATGGTAAGCAAATCGCCGTCGATCCAGAGTTGACTGGACTGCCAGAGTTGGCACTGACATAAGCACAGGATTCTCGGGCTCCGATATAACGGCATTGGCTAAAGATGCGGCCATGGGTCCGCTCCGCTCTTTGGGCGAGGCTCTCTTGCACATGACCATGGACGAAATTCGGCCAATTTCATTGGCAGATTTTGAGGCAAGTCTGACTACTATTCGACCGAGTGTAAGCAAGACTGGGTTGAAAGAATACGAGGATTGGGCCAGAGAGTTTGGCGAGCGAGGAGGATGATGTAGGGCAATAGGCATGTGAGGTGCCGGGTGTTTTGGGGTTCTTTTTGTTTATGCGTGATATGGCAATAGTTCGGTTGGCTAGGGAGCGCACGTGAAAGTGATACCCTCCAGAGGCGCATGATTATCGGCAAAGGAACAAGACAAATCGAGTTTTACAAAATATTTTGCGTAAATGGCTCAGACGAGACTACTACAATAGTGTTGGTGTTTGTACAATGATTCGGCAGTGACCTTGAGGCTTCGCCCACACGACTCCAACTACAAATCAGGCCAAGGACGTCATCGACTAAAGACAATGCCCAGTGCTCTGTGTCGACCCCCTCCCCCTCCTCATTTTTGTTATACAGCGTTGTGTTGCAATCCACATCGAACCTTTTCCTGGTTCTCTGTGTAAGATAGTTTTCCTTTCTGTTAGACCAAGTCCTTAGTCAACCTCGGGCTCAGGGGTTGGTTTTGAAGACTTCTCCTGCCTCCGCGTCTCTCTTCTGGCAACCTTTGCTTCTCTCTTCTGAACCTTGGCCGCAATTCTCTCGTCCTCGGTCGGCACCGGTGGACGCGCTGAGATGGGTGTACCGTGGGGCGCGATGATGCTCTTGACGACGTGGCGCTTGTGGGGTGACGTCCTCCATCCGGGAACGATAGAAACGACATCGCCTGTGCGGAGGGATGAGTTGGGGTCGTGGACTAGGTAGTGCGTTGGTTTCGTGAACATCTAGGAAAGCCGTGGCTGATTAGTCTCCAAGAGACAGTAACCTCATATATCTCTAGGGTCGATAACTGACCTTCTGAACCTTTTGCTTCCATTGCTGGCCACCCACGCGCACTTTGACTGTCTTCTGCATGAGCCCGGCGCTCACGACGACGCCGTTGAGTTCGCGTACGACTGCGCGCGCTTGCGCCATTGTCTGGGCTGACATGGTGGGCGACGGGTAGGATGACAATGGCAATTACTTCGGTCTGTCGAGTTCGATTCCACGCGGGCACTTAGGTCGTGAAGTTTGAGCTGCTGAGAGGGTGTCGCGCGGTAGATGGGGTGCCTTCCTATGATGGTGGCCTCGTTGCCATATGTTCCATGGCCTCCTGGAGGGAGTAGAAAATAAAAAAATGGAGTGTCTTTCCTAGCTTCTCATTGGCTAAGCGGGCCGTGTTTTCGCCGACACTCAGGCCGTTTTCTGGCCTGCCAGATTGGGGTCCGACAGAACGGAAAGATCAGACGCTAAGATAACCTTAAATTAGACGAGGTTGTTTGGCTTGGTCTGTGGCTTTCTGTGACAGCTTCCTGGGACACGGCGGTTGTTTTAAGATAAGATATCTTGGTCTGCAATGTTAAGAGCTAAGATAGCTGATCAAGCTACACAATCTCTCTCGCTTTCAACAGCCTCTAGGGGGGTTACCTCTTAGTTTCAGGATCCGAATGTAAATTCTCTTTTGGTTTTTACCTCAGAAACATCGCTGGTGTGATTGAATGCGGGCGTTTCCGAGCCCGCCCTCGAATTGGGAACAATTATGCCGATCAGCTAGCGCAAGCCATATGCAGGCCGCAGTTATACCTGCGCTCACTGCCAAAGTAGCACTACATGTCTCCCCGTTACAGCAAACGACCATCTGTCTTTAGGAGCGATTCTGGTTGTTAGATACATTGCCTCTTTCGATAGCACGACAGGCTCCCCTAGAACCGGGTGGGTGTTTTCTTTACGGTTTAGTCATCGTAAGCATACTCTATAAGAGTCTCAGACTGATGCAAACGCAAAAGAGTTCTTCACGAGACTTTGCAAGCCGTTTCTGTTTTATCACTTTGAAAACTCAAAGGGCCGACGCTTACATCGAACGAGTAGCCAAGGCGTTTACATTTACTCATGTGAGATGATGTCTGCTGGGGCAGCCGAGGTTTGTACGTCCTTCATCCCACTGCGGCAGAGGGTTTTCGACGGGTTTTCGACGTTCGGCCAACTCAGAGTTCAGAGGTGGCTGGAACACTCGCGTACTTATCTTACTTCCACTATCGGGCAACTGATGGGCCGCACCGCATGCTCACCGAGGCATTAATAGCCATAGGCATATGAAGACACCGATCTCGCATGCTGCCAGAAAGAAGAAATACACTTAGGATGAGAATGTCTATGGCAGGTAGCAGCTTTGGTACGGAGTAGACTGAGGCCTGAACTCCCCGATACAGGTGGATTTCGACGCACATTGACGGGAGCGATAGGTGTAAAAGAGACCCGTTAAATTCGCTGAGAGGAGACAGGCCTTGGGACACCTTATGGAGGAAACCTTAGGTACCTTACCTACGGAGTAATCATGGCCAATTTACCAAGTATGGTGGAGGACAAGGAACCCAAGACTTGATGTTTCTGTTGGGTTGTAACATAGTTGATGACTCGGCAAACATTCGCCGTAGCGGCTAAAAGTCGAGTGGCTAAGACCCGAGCCGAGCAGAAATCTGGGTGCCGTGAGTCGAAACTCTGAAGTCTCTGAGCGTGCGAAAAATGCAGCGGAGAATTGAGAGAACCTTGTCGAGGTGGGCCTGAGTTTGCTGAAATGGGACCGCATATTAGTCCTCCTCCACTCGAGGCGACGATACAGAAGTAACTCCCTCTGGCACACCAGCCTCGCACTGTCGTGGACGAGGCCTCTTGAAGCGGAACTTTCACGAGAAGAAGACTTTGACACTGTGTTGCTGTATCCGAGCTCCGTTTCCATCACACTCACCCCGCACCCAAAGTCCCAGGGCCCCCCAGCAGGTACAACTGTATCCGTAGTGTTGAGTGTCCCTCCATAAGGTAAGCCACCATTTAATCCGTACTTGCTGGCTTTATCTTCCTTCTTCCCTCGCAGCTCGGCCTGAATCATCCTCCCTCAGATTTGATCCCTCACTCGTCGAAAAAAATTCAAAACCAACATTCCTCCCTCTCGACTCGCACTCACCACTTCACCATTTACCGCACACTCACTCAGTCCCTCTCCTCTCCTCAGTGATCAGATTTGCCTCATATTTGCCCATTGAAATTTTCTCATCTTTTCTCTTTCTCACTACTACTGTACTTCGTTTTTCGTTGTGTGCAACAACGCGCCTGCTGTACGCGCCTTCCTCTCTGTGCAACGAGAAAATCAGGAACGACGAAGAAGAAGAAGAAGAAGAAGAAGAAGAAGAAGAAGAAGAAGAAGAAGAAGAAGGAGCTTGGAAAACCCTGCACCAGATCCTACCACCCGATCTTCGAATTCTCCCCTCCCAAAAAAAAAAAAATCGACATGTCTTCCCCAGAGGCCCGTGCTGGTGTCAAGCGACCTCGTAAGTTCCCAATGTGTGTCCCTTACGCGACTCACGTTTCCCTTGCATCAAGTGCAAAACCCGAGTCCAAGGCTCCTCCCTATTGCGATTGTCTGCCGCTGCCATTCCGGGAGCCTTCATTCTCGCGGCCAACCTCTCTGCCAGTCACCCTTCTTCCAATTGCGCGGGCCATTGCATGAGGTGGTTATAAGCCGTAGTTACCCCGCGCCGCCCTGCACACTTTTACTCGTCTCTTACCCCAAACACCACAAATCGAGTACGACGCAGATAATCGCGACAACATGGAAGACACGGCAGACAGTTCGCACAAGGGCAAGCCTGCAAAGCTAGCTATAATCTGTCAACTTGGTTTGCTAACGTAACGTGCGAATCCCCTTAGGCACCCAGTCACTTCCTCCTCCGGCTCTCCCTCAGCTGGTTGCTGAACAGCACACCGCCATCCCATTCACCGACAAGGACTCTCAGCGCCTCATCGTCGTTCTCTCCAACGCCAGTCTCGAGACGTACAAGGCCTCACATGGCGGTACTGGTCGCAACGGCGTCCAGCGTGAGGAGAAGTACTCGCTACTCAACAGCGACGAGCACATTGGAGTCATGCGCAAGATGAATCGCGACATCAGTGATGCGCGCCCGGATATTACACATCAGGTTGGATACTACCAGCGAACTGCTTTTGCGTCTGCTACTGCTTTTGCTCTCTGATGCGCCTCAACGCGCCTAGCCCTTCAAGTCTGCATCCAACATGCTGACCATACTGACTAGTGCCTCCTGACCCTGCTCGACTCTCCCATTAACAAGGCCGGCAAGCTTCAGATCTACATTCACACCGCCAAGGGTGTCTTGATTGAGGTCTCGCCGTCTGTTCGTATCCCGCGTACATTCAAGCGTTTTGCCGGTCTGATGGTTCAGCTGCTGCATCGCCTGTCTATCCGCTCGACCAACTCGCAGGAGAAGCTCCTTCGCGTTATCCAGAACCCCATCACCGATCACCTTCCGCCCAACTGCCGCAAGGTCACCCTCAGTTTCGAGGCCCCTCTGGTACACGTGAGGGACTACATCGACACCCTCGCTCCCAAGGAGAGTGTTTGCGTCTTCGTCGGTGCCATGGCCAAGGGTGCCGATACCTTTGCTGATGGTCTCGTGGACGAGAAGATTTCCATCAGCAACTACAGCTTGTCCGCCAGCGTCGCTTGCAGCAAGTTTTGCCACGCCGCCGAGGATTCCTGGGACATTCAGTAGTCGAATCCCCATATTTACTCAGTCGTTGATGTTGCAGACACAAACCCAGGCGGCAGAGATGACGAATAAGAGCGGCAATGTAAGTGGTGGCCTTTAGGCGCGTGGAGACGCAATATGCGCCCAAAGCGGCAAATCGAAAGTCAAGGGGTCTGTCTAGCTTATGGAACCGCGATACAACATCATGGTGTCCGCACGCGACCTCGGAAACTTGGGTCACCTGTGCTAGCGCTGTCGCTGTTTTTGCAACCAAAACCGGGGCGTTCAACAACGGGTCCAAGACGCTTTCTTCACCTAGGCGGTCCAATTTCAACCTGGGCCGTCCGTTCTTTTTGTTTGCCCCTTATTCAGGACCTGTAAGGATGGCGGTCTTGAATACTGTTGCTGCCGGAAGCAGAGGAGCATCTTTGGTCCTCTCGGCAAGTGTCGTGGTAAATGGACCTCATCTCGATTTTCACTTGGAAAACGGTGTGTCGAGATCAAACGCTCGGCGAAATTGCTGGGGAGCCTAGACAAAGTGGGAAAAGAGAAACGTCGCAAGGAATAATGGGTGTATGGCTGGATACTGGCGACTACGCCGTCAAAATGTACAAAGCCTCTGACTTAGGAGGCTGTTGAGAAAGACAATACATCTACCGTGTTGATGGGGTGACCAACCAAATCTCCTGTGCATTCAATGTGATCAAAATGCCTATGTGCCTAGGAACGTACTGCAATCGACGAACGTTACGATGCCATGTATGTGAACCTAGCTTCCTCAGCTACGTGCTGTTGGCATCACGGGTGAGAGAGAGGGCGAAAGGGAGCCAGTCGTGTGTTGCTGGGAGGCTGGTCGACTGATGGCATAGGTTACAGGTACGGTCGAATTAAATGTGTAGGACCCGTCTTAGGCGACGGTTACGATGATGATTTGGCATGTCATTGATGCCTGAGTGGACTGAGGCGGGGAGACAGACGAGTGACGACAGGAGAGTCAGGGGCCCGGAATGGCGGTAATAGGGGCTGGAGTCTGACTCTGGAACAGGCAACTAAGGCATGGAACCTGGAAGCAAAAAGGTATGGAAGCAGAAGGAAGTCTTGTTGGTGACCTCAGTCTACTCAAGGACGAACGAGACGAGACAATAGTGAGGCTCGTCCGCCTTACCATGCATGGTGAGGGAGTCAGACTCGGGCTGGTGTGTACACCGCATGACTTGACGAGCTGGATGTGACAGATTTGGCAGACAAAGTTGACAGAATTGACAAGAGTAGGGTAGCTGGGGGCCCTTGGAACAGGGCGGCGCGAACCGATGTGCCCGACTGGCTGGGAGGAATTATGTATGCGCATCCGCATGCGCCCTGACTGGACTCCATCCGTACTGAGCTCATCAAACAAGTCGGGGGCCCGGGGGCCTCGAGCTGGCGGGAGGTTGGGCAGCAGACAAGGTGGACGTATAGTTGCATTAGTGCCCTTGTGGTATGGAGTCGAGAACTTGAATGTGCTGAAATCCGACGATGGGCGGCATGGCCAACTCACCAGCCAAGTTGATGGAATCACGCGAGCTGGAAAGTGCGAGGCTGGGTGTTACTGTTGGCACCTGCGGTGCGCAAGCAAAGTGGAGAGACGCGGGATCGCGCAAAACCGTTGTTGGTAACTGATATCCATACTCACAGAGTATACAGAAGGGTAAGTCGGTCAAGGCAAGCCGCAAAGCCGCAAAGCCGCAAAAGAGCCTGTCAAGCTGTGACGTGATGGAAGCGGATTCGATGCGGTGAGTTACAGAGAGATGCGAAGATTGGATGTACCTCTCAAAGAACCTTCCTTGCCTTGCCTTAGCTAAGGTGGCTGGCGAACTTGATATAGATGTACATGAGATGCAAGGTAAGGAACCTTACCTACCTCAAGGCACCTTCAAGAAAGGAATTTGGAAGTCGCCGGTGCAGGTTGAAACATGGAAGTCTAGAGTACCCGTATCCGTACCTGCCTTAATTAATACTATCTTCCTGTTTCGACAGTTGAAGACGGGAAAAGTGGATTCTTTCCTTCCATTTGCACTTTGATGTGTGAAAATGTGAGGAGGTGCCCTTGACTTTGACCTTACAGATAGATACCGTGCTTGCCAAGCTTGTCCGCCAGCCTATTAGGAAATACCTTAGTACTCCGTACTCCGTACCTTACCGTTTAGAACATGGGAGCCACGCAGCAGCCAACCGCTTCCATTTGGAACGCGCGCAACGAGCGGCTTTTTACTGCTTCCACCGGACCACTTGGAAGCCACAAACGCTCCCGAGTCCCGCGCACTCCTCCCTTCACTCCGTCCAATGACAGCAGCTAGCTATGAACGCGACTTACGGTCCCAGTGATTTCTGACGACCGCCTTTCGTTAATCTGCAGTGCGGCATTTCTCGGCCGGTTTAGCTCACTTATTACCCGAAAAGCCTTGGATATTTCCAATATGTACACCTTGTCACTTGCTAATAGCACTCAAGGTGACTTTTTTCTAGGTGTACGTCCAGTCTTCCACCGCCTCCAGCCTCCGTATGGGCCGAGGATTCTACGGATACAATTTCTTTCCATATTTCTAGCGGTCCCGAGAGGGTGGCTAATCTCCTCCTGGCTTAACCCAGGGCACGACAAATGAGTATGCAGCAACGAGGGCAACGGGGGTCAAGGCGGGGCTTGAAGAGGCGAATAGCAGCCAGACACGACACGGCACGACACGACGCGATAAAACACTCCAGTGCCAGTATCCGTACGGACGCAGAGTGAGGGTCCCGAATAATACAGAGTACACATCGATGATCATGCTCTCGACGCGATCCAGATCGTGAGATGCGGCAGGCGTGGCTGCTTGCAGGACGATCTACTCCGTATCCCCCCTGAGCAACACTTCACTTCTCGGTCCTCGGTCTGCCATGTACACGTAGCCCAGCCCCAGTGCGCAGTTCGGTCGGGCACAGCTTTTCGGGGGATGTTCTTGATAGACTCACGGAGCGTGACTTGTGAAGGAAGACGTACGGATATTCGAATGATTGATCATGGCCTAGCCTCCTTCAGCTCCCGATACCAAGCGGCATTTGCCTTTGGCCGGTTGTAAATCGTTGGGCCTGGCCACGGTCTGATGCCACCAGTCACCCTTCAGAACGAGGGAATGAAAACAAATATCTAGACGCTGGGGCAAATTACACGTAGTTGGAATTCGTATGTCTGTACTCCGTACAGGCTATGCTAAACTAGCTGGCGCGGCATTGGGATAGCCTCATCTTCCATAGGCGCAGAACAAGATGAAGGTGGCCATCTGCTTTCGAGTGAGGTCTCCGGCTAGGTGCCCCGGTGCAGTGTGGACATGTCACTTCCTTCCCTGGCCATTAGCTGCAGTCTACCACCCACCATCGCAGCTGCACCGGACTCGACCGGAACGGGCTTGCTGCATATTGGATTGGCCAGAAGGCACTGGGCGAGTGTGAGACTGACTTACTGAGACAGCACTGGAGCAGGATAGCCGACTTGTGAGTGGGATTGGGCTCGGCAGCAGGAACAGGCTGTCAGTCTATGGCGGCCCCGTGCTACTGGGGTGATGGAGGTGTGCCGCCGATGATACCTTACCTAGGCACGCCGCACGCCGCACCCTGAAGACAAAGTCCCGGTATCCGTATGGCTATTTGCAGTTGCAGGTGGATAGGGTTGTCAGAGACGTTGCAAGGTAAGGTACATAAGACACATGTCTGCGGGCAGGCTGGCTTGACATTCGCACGGCTTGGTTTATGTCGGTTGCGTGTGCCCTCTTTCCTCCCCCTTGTCAGACTCAGAAGTATCTCTTTTAAGCATTGATTTCCACGCAGCAGTTGGGAAGTTGGACTTGCAGTTGATTCCTATTCCCGTTTCTTTTTGCCTTGGCATTCTGGTGTCTGTCTGTCTGTATTGGGTATACTTGGGTCTCCTGCCACCGGTGCTACGCTGCCCATTACCTACTGGACTTTGTCGATATCTTATCACCCACTAGCACTACAACCATCACCACCACACAGCAGTCCACCACTCACCACCCACTACTACTACCAACCTTCACACCATTATCAATAGGTTGCCCTCGATAGTTTCACTCGGAATTTTCTTTGCAACCACCTCGACGGACGCACAAATCAACGAGGCTGCCACCAAGCCTAGCTAGCTCAAATCGCCTGTCTGCGCCTCTTTTCCCCCTCGCGTCCGGCACTTACACGCAACCAACTATTCTCGCCCTGTCACATAGCCCTTCGCTTCACTCTCGCCCTCCTCAAACAGCCGCCTTATCTGATTCTGGATTGGTTTTTTTACCATCAACCGCCCCAAATGACTCCCTACTTTGATGTCTCCCATCTTCCCTCCTCAGCTTCCTTCTACTCGGCCGTCCTCCAACCCCTGGGCATCCACTATATATCTACGGATTCGCAGACCGCTCCCCCGGACGCCAACGCCAACGCCAACGCCAACGCCAACGAAGGCGCCGACACCGACTCCAAGACGACCATCACCACCTCAAGCCCCGGCAGACTTCCCAGCACCGTCACGTACGGTATACTGTCCCCGCTCACCCCCATTTTCCAGATCCGCGAGGCCCGCATTTCCAGCGAACCCCTGAAGCTTTCTCGCGCCGTCTTTTCTGCTTCCTCCCCCACCGCTGTCACCGACTTCCACGCCTTTGCTGTGCGGGCCAATCCGAACCTGCTGTCTAACGTCCCGGCTGATCAGTTCTCTCGTCCCGCTTTAATCACTCAAAGTGGCGATATCCACCGGGCCACTGTGACCGACTTGGACGGTAACACCATGGAGGTTGTATATCAACCCCCTCCCAACTACCCTCCTCCCTCTTACGCTGGGTCGACTGTTCGAAAAACACAATCTACCACGGAAGAGGCTGGCCGCATCCTGGATTGGAATTACGACGTTGCAGCATCTGAGCCGCCGCCGCCTTCTGTTTCTGGTTCCGCTTCTGCCGGAACCTTTTCGTCTGTCTTCGCCATGGCTGCTCGCTCTGGGACAT